TTAAGCAGAGCCTGGAGTGAGCTAAGGCCGCAGTGCAGCACTACACAAAACCATTTAGGGTCATCTGCACAACTATCGTCACAACTCTGCAGCCCATAGAGGCCATCTTGTCCCTGGCCCTACTCAGAAGAATTGGTGGCATGCTTGTGGTCCAGCCAGAAGAAGAGTACGAATCCTTCTTGTCCTCCCAAAATATATTGTGAAAGATCCTCAATAAAATACTACATGGACGGGCTGGTGAGATGGCTCAGTGGTCTAAAGTACCTACTTAGAACAAGCTTAGCAAAGCACAGGGACCGCAGTTCAATCCCCCAGCCCCACATGCCAGTCAGCCCCGCCCCCTGGTGGGCTGAGCTGGCCACACACACACACACACACACACACACACACAAATAAAAATTAAATACTACATGGACAAACTCTTTACCTCAGTCACTATTACATACAACTCTCTGAATTCGACAGCTTTTTGTAAAATTTTCAGAACAACTTCAAACATACTTTCCCTTATTTTCAGGCCACTGAAGTCGTGTGCTGAAACTGCACCTCTATGTCCCTCACAGCGTGCATTACCTCTGTTTGCCTGGTGTGTTTCTTTTTTTTCTTTGTTTTTCTAATTTAAGAATGTCACTTGGGGGCCGGGGAGATGGCTCAGTGGAATAAGTGCTCCCTGGCAAGCACAAGGACCAGAGTTCAATCCCTGGTTCCACCCCCCCCCCAAAAAAAAAAAAGAAGAAGAAGAATGTCACTAAATAGGCCAAGAAGAATTGATACTTCTCTGCTTTTCCTGTGTACCTTGGTCCGGCCGCCACTGTTCATTGTCATGTTTTCTAGAACTTTCAGTCAATAATTGATATCATCCTTTTGACATGGCATAGAGCACATACTTTCTGTGTTCATTAGGTTTTATTCTTTGCACAACTTTTATTCCTCACTATTCTGCTACTGTAAGGAGTTTGAAAATATTTATGTACTTTTCAAATCTCAATGTGGCATACTGAACCTTCTGAATAAGAGCTTTATTAACTAACTGGAGTTGTCAGTTAACATTTTGTCAAGCTGGTTAAAAACATTTTCTGCATATAAAGTGTACACTTAGCTTGCTTCAGAACTATTCTTCAGTTAATTTGGTTTATTGCTACAACACTACCTTAAAAAAGTAAACAAAAAGTTCCGTTGGCTTTTGAATACAAATATTGTATTATTCATATTAAAATATCATTAGAATGCGGACACAAGCCAATAACTCAAATTCAGTACAGTAATTAAGCATGCACAACTTGGTTTTAAGTGTGTCTTAATAGTTTCAATGACAATTAAAATTAAGTTTTACAAGACGGACATGAATCATTTAGTGAAATTAATGTATTATATAATTATCATTAGGTAGCAACAGGAGACCATTATGATGCATCAAAATTCCATTCAGAGAACATTACAACTGCTCTGAAACTGTTGAATCAGTTGGATGCAGGCTGCTTTGGATATTTTCATCTTCTCTCATAATTTTAAAATCATTTATGTTTTTTGAAAAGATGTTATTGCCTAAATAGTAGAATAACTATCTTGTATCTAACTATGAGGGCTAAGGTTTGTATTTCAATTTCCAATAAATACTGAAATATATTATGGAGTTCATTAGTCATATAATTTAAGAGCACAAAATTAACAAAGAAGGTTAATAGAATAAAAAGCAGTACAAAAAGTGCTAACATAAGAAAAAAGATAACTAGAAATTAATCTTATTGTCTAATGTTTAATTGTATAAAATGATACATGATGATATCTTCTGAATTCTAAATAAAATAAAAGTAATTTTCAATGCCTATTTGTACATATAAAGGTTAAAAGAACTTGTCTATTTTCAACAGTGCATTATAGATTGACTAATTTGATGTAATTTAATCAATAAGAACAGTGTAAGTCACAGATTATTGGGCTATAATGTTTCACCTATTTTCCCTTTCTAGATTTAGATTTTCAGCAATAATCTTTATAATATACAAATCTGAATTTGCCACGCCTCATATTACTCTTGAATCTTACTTCATTTTAATCATTTTTAATTTGTTTTATTTCATGTAGGTAGTATAGCATCGGTAGGGTCTACAGGGTCTCACTACACAGTTTGGACTCACAGTGATTCTCCTGTGTTCAGCCTCCCAAGTGCTGGGATTACAGGCACGTGCAACCACATCCAGTCTCAATCGCTATCTCAGCACACCCCAGAGGAGGGGCTGGCATGGCATGCCAGGGCCTGACACTTTTGTCCACTGAGCTATCTGGCTGGCCCTTTACTTGCTACAATTAAGTCATTTTTGCATTGCTCTATTTCTTTGCATTTTTCTTGTCTTCATTCTCCTCTAGACAGGCCCAAACCACTCCCAAAGTCCCCCTCACCAGTGCTTATCCTTTATGACCCAATGTCAGCATCATTTCCTTTGCTATTGTTCTACGCATGGTCCTGGTATAGATTTTTGTCTCCTCCTTTACTTGAGAAACTAGAGAGGGTTGGTGCCCAGGCACAGCTCCCAGAGAACCTTACTACATTCTGGCCAATGTGTGTCAGTTAGCATCTGACTAAGCAGCTCCCTTAATTTTCCTACATTAGAATTTGTCTACTCGCTGTGATATCTGAAATTAAGGCCAAAATCTGCCACCCTGTTTCACAGCATGCAAGGCAAAAGAACGAGTTATTCACTTCAATCACTTTTCCAGAGGGACACGAACAGGGCATGATTTTATGTCATCTTGTGGAGTTTTTTCTTGAGATTCGAGTACAGCTCTCCTGTGAGACCAGGAATAACGGCAATCCCTGTGATGGGGGAAGTTTCCTCCTCCTCTTCTATGCTCTGCCTTCCCTTTCTCCTTCCTCCTATCCTCTGCTCAATAATCTCATTGCCTCTTTGTTATTGCTACCTGAATGTCTCAAAAGAGAAATCTATACCTGAATCTTTTATCTCCCCCCTTGATCCTTGGTGAATCCTCCAGTATTTATTTGCTTGCTGGTCAGTCAACAACAACAACAACACCGTAGCATCCTGTAGCACCATGATGACCCCTACTCATTTCTAAAGTGAACTGAGGAACCTTAGAAATGAAGAGGCTTTTTTAATGAAACAACTCCAAGATTTAAAAGAGACATAGAATGATAAGGACAGAGACTGTCACGGTGGTTTCTGTTGTCTGTATGTTGAAGGGAGGAAGGGGCAGTCTCAAGATAGCCAAAGAAAGGGCCAGCAATATAGCTCAGTGGACTAAGTGCCTGCTTAGGCAAGCACAGCGACCAGTGTTCGATCTCCAATACCACATGCAGCACGGGCCCTGCTCCCGGGCACACTGAGATGTCCACTGAATCCAGGCGTGGCGGCACACACCTGTAATTCCAGCACTGGGGAGGCTGAAAACAGGAGGATCACTATGAGTCCAAACTGTGCAGTGAGACCCAGGATAAATACATTAATAAATAAATAAATAAGTAAAGTTAGCCAAGGAAAGTTTTAAGATGCGATTTGAAGCCCTCAAGATCTCTATAATAGGATTTAAAGAAACTTCCACTTCTGCAAGTGACAAGACTGGATTAAAAACCAGACTTTGAGGTAGATTATGACAGTAGCAGAATTATACAAAAGCCTCGCTTTAAAGCACAATTAAGCTTTCTAAGAAAAAGTGGAGACACTCCACAGGAGAAAGTTAGGATGCTCAGACCCAGCTTTGGGATACCTGGGTGGCTTATGCCCCTTTCATGCAGCATAATTACTTCCTTGTCATGTGTTTTGCTTAGACGACTGCTCCCTAGAGGTCCCGGTGCTGAAGAATTTGTTCTGAGAGTAGCACTATTAAGAGGTGATGGAACCTTTAAGAAATCAACTCTAAGGCTGGCAAGATAGCTCAATGGCCTAAGCGGCTGCCTGGCAAGCTCAAGGATCCGGGTTTGATCCCCAGTACCGCATGCCATGCTGACCCTAGAAATTGGGAAGCATTTTGCCGGACACCTAAACCAGATGTGGTAGTATACACCCATAATCCCTGTGCTGGGGAGACTGAGACAGGAGGGTCACTAAGAGTCCGAGCTGCATAGTGAAACCATGCACCAAATAAATAAATAAATAAATAAATAAATAAATAAGAAATAGAGTCTAGCGGGGTAGCTCTAGGTCATTGATGCCATGCTTCCAAAAGAAATGCCGGACCTTGGTTTCTGTCTTCTTGTTCCTGTAATCCCGCAAGGTGTCTTCCTTCACCAGAGGCCATACAAATGATGTTGCAACTTGAACCTCCACAATGGGGAGCTACATAAACTCTCCCCTTTCATAAAGTTAGTGGCCGTGGCTGTGCCATTGGAGTCGTGTAAAGCTGAGCAGTGCTCCTTGAGGCCACGCAGACGTCTGCTCTAAGGCAGGCGCCCCACAGACATGCCTTCCTGTTTCTCCTTTCTTGTGACTTCATGACCACCAGCTATGTTCAAGACCAAGCATGGTTCAACTAAGTAAGTACTGACTATGTTTCAGTGGAAAAAAAAAAGATTATTCATGAAAGGAACAGCAAAAAGTGGCTACATCTACATGTAGGAAACAGAAGATTGTGTTTAGAATGAAGGCTGAGAATATTAACCAAGGAGTGTGTCATAAACCTAGATACACAGAAACTAAAGATAAATTTGAAAACTCAAACAAGTTCCCGTCTAAACCTATCTGGGCCTGATGGTCTACTAAATTATATCACTCTCTAAAACTATTTTATTTCCAAAAAAGGAAAAAGTGTATAAAATAAGAAAAACCTCATATTAATCTTTAAATTAAAAAATAACATATAATCACGATAGCTAATAAATTAAATCTGCACAGTACGTAATATTTTGAAGTACATTCAACAGGCATTAACAGATGATCTTGGCTACATTTCTTTTCATAATTAAAATATAAGAAATTGTTTACTTTAAAAATATGTGCACATTTTTATTCATGAGATATATGCAAACATGTATGCATTCCACTTACCCTCACTTGACCCACAAAGGCATTAGCTTCCTCCTCTACCACAGATAAATTTCTAGGCAGATAGGGATCAAACACGGGAGCATTGTCGTTGACATCTGTTACTACCACGTTCACTGTGGCTGTTGAGGTCTTGAAGAAAAACAGAAAGATTAAATGGAGTGGAGCTACTTTCGTATCGACCTCTGTCTCGTGGTCATGTTGGCATTTCGCGAGACGAGAAGTGTCTCACTGACTTCCCTAGACATTTAGTCCAGCAGTGAAAACATGGGAACGCAAAGCAGTGAGGGGTTTTCATACCTGAGAAACAAACAGGAAAAGCAAATGATGAAACTAAAGAGCAAGCACTTTCTCGAAAATGTCAAGTATTTCTCAGAGGCTTCCTTTTTAGAACATGATTTTACCTTTATCTTGTTCATATTTTATGGGTGGGAAGGTTCTTTTATATATGCACATACACCACTTTATAACTGAAATATACTATTATTGTAGTTTTACATTTAAAAATAAGAACAAATACTTTCTAAAATACCATGACTTATGTTAACACCACCTATATCTTAGTAATTTTCAAGGTGTACATTCACTCTTGCAAGCAGGCACAGGGGCCTGGGGTTTGATCCCCGGGCTTGCTATGCTGGCCCTGCCCCTGGGGCGCACTGAGACTGCAAATGAGCCTGGGTGTGGTGGCGCCATGCACCTGTAATCCCAGCTCTTGGGAGGCTGTAAACAGGCGAATCACAACAAGTCCAACCCTAACCCAATCTAGTAGTGGACCCTGAACACCCTGGTGACCCTTTCATAAATACAAAAAAAAAAAAAAAAAAAGGCATACATGGAAACAAAGGTGATGCTTTGCACTTGTGAATTTATGAATTGATGAACATACAACTTTTGGGAATTCTTATCAAGTAAGCCTACCAATACGTGATCTTAATTAAATGTTAAAAACATTTGTTCTGCCGCAATCAGAAAATATGCAGATCAATGAATGACTCAGATATAATCAAGGAACATCTACGAAACCACCATGAGAAATTTGTCCAACTCTTCCTTAACAAAAGAAAAACAGGCACAAGGTCTTCTGAGGAGCAGGTAACTTGGTCTGAGACCAGAAGCCAAGCATAAGGCACTGAAGAGGGGTGACAGGAAGAGGGCTGCAGAAGTCATGGGGCTTGGGGTCAAAGTTTTCCCAACTGCCAAGGAAGAAAGGTTGGTGTAGACACTCGTGCTTTCTGCTGGGATCACTGAAATTCTGCACTGTAAGAATGAAGGTTTTGGGCAAAGCAACCCAGCTCTACTCATTTTAAGCCTGACATGCAGGCTCTGACTAGATGTAGGTGAATCCCTCTGTTTTAACAGACACTAAATCTAATCCTGCTCAATGCAATAGCACTGTACTCTCTCTGTCTCTGTCTCTGTCTCTGTCTCTGTCTCTGTCTCTCTCTCTCTCTCTCTCTCTCTCTCTCTCTCTCTCTCTCTCTCTCTCCCCGTTTCTTTTAAACAAAACAATCAGTGGTCAGTAAAAAATTACCGTGCAAGGTAAATGCTGGCAATGAGCTATCTATCTGTGTAGGACAGTGGGTTTCTCCTTTGAAAACTCACATATAGCCATTCCTGTAGGATTTCTAATATTTAAAATTCTATTCAGACTGTATTTAAAGATTCATATAATGATCATCAAGAGCATCATATAGCCGAAGTCTAGAACCAACCCAAATATCTACCAACAGCAGATATTTGTGTGGTGGGTTCCGGGGGCAGCGGGATGTACAGAACCAAGACAATGAACTATTGCCGGCCACACTAAGGAGATTCTTGAATGTAAATTGGAATCAAAAAATTCAGACACAAAATAGTACAAACTATGTTCCATTTATAGAAAGTAAAAGCACAAACAATCATAATCTCTTCAGAGTGGCATGAGTAAGCACAGGGTCCCTTTGGAAAATAAAAGAGATCAGGGCCTGTGATAAATCATGAGGCTAGCCTTCAGCGGTGCTGCTTAATTTCTGCTTACTGTAGCGACTTGTAGTTATATAAGTGTGTTCACTCCGTTATTTCATTGTGTAGTTATGATTTTTAGATTCTGTCTACATATCATTTTCATCAAATTCTTTAACTTTAATGATGCATACACGCATACATGTGTTTGCACATGCATTCTAAATATATGCATAAAGAAGTTCAAGTGCTATCTGGTTGGCTGGAATGCTAGTATTTTAGTTTCCTGTTGTAACATTTGCATATCTCTAAATATTCCTTAAGAAAGGTACATTTATTTTTAGGGAAAGATTTTTTTTCAACAGGTGTTATTTCTTTAAAATGTATGTCAGAATTTAAACCAGTAACAAATGTAAAGCTCTGTTTTTACAGTTGCAGCAGTTCCCGATGTGCCTCGGGGTGAACAAAACAGTAAAACTGACAGCCTGAGGGACCACAGAGGAATCTGAGGGCTTTCTGTAAACCACCTGACCCTTTCTGTGCCCACCCACCCTGACTTCCCTGCCAATCTGCTGTGCTGTTTTATCACTAAAATCCTATCATTTCTTATTCTTGATGCCAGGCAGCAATGCATTCTCCAACAGTTCTGCATCCACCATCAGAATGTGCTCTGTGCTGGGGTAATGTAGCAGAAAACTGCACACCAACTAAACTAACAAGTTAATTAAGAAGTCCACATTTTGTGCTAATAGGAACTAATATTTCTGAACCACTTAGGCAGATTTCTTCGAGAATTTTACATGAAATGAAAACATCCATATGTTAAAAAAATAAAGTCATGGGG